CCCCAAAACCCCAAAACCCCAAAACCCCGCGAATATAAATACCAATCTAAATTAAGGATTACTAAAGTTAAAATAAAATTTGAGTTAAAACCAAAACAATAGAACTAAAATTTTGTGAAATGATGCAACACGTTTAGACTTAAAAGAAGCAGCAGGGCTAAAAAAGATCATTTTCTTTCGGTAAGTACGCAAGCTATTAATAATATTTTTAGATAAGCCATTATATGATGGAGATAAGTACTTTGACAGATTAAGGATTGCAATTGCACTGTTTAATCCTTTGTAAGATTACGTAATTTAAATTTATTTCTAGAAATGCGATGGTACCCAATGATAAGATTCTTGATTATAAGCAGTACTTAGATGACATGAGGGCTAGAGAGAGAATTGAAAGGCAAGAGGGAAGAGAATTTAAGTTGACTGATTAGCAGATTCATGTTATTAGAAGAGCTCAAATTGTAACTGGGGCTTCAATCCACCCAGACACAGGATAACTCATTAGTTGGCCATTTAGAATGAGTTCATTTTTGTTTATGGGCCTTCCTTTGACTGTTGGTTTAACTATGGCACCTCCAACAGGTTTCAATACATTTTTCTGGTAATGGTTGACTCAGACTTACTTTGCTGGGCTGAATTTTTCTAACAGAAATGCTTCAAACGAGGAAAGTTATGTTAGTTCTTTTATGGGATTCACAGCGGCAGCTGGTTCTGGTATAGCCATAGCTTTACTTCTGAGGGGCATGTTTGGGAGATTTGCTGGATCTTACCCTGGAAATTAGATCTTATTCAATACGACTACTAGCTTTTTAGCATTGGCTGGAGCTGGGTATGTGAATTCTATGGTTATGAGAAATCAAGAATTGAAAAATGGAATAACCCTTTATGATGAGCATAATATAGAAGTAGGTATGTCAAAGGTTGCTGCTAAATAAGCTGTAATGCAGACAGCAACAACTAGAATCTTGCTAGCCTTTGAAATGGTGTTTGTTCCAGGATTCATTATTGGTCTTTTATAAAAGAGATACATGATGCCTTAATCTGGTGGGCTCAGATCTCTCTCTGAATTAGCAATCATTTCATCAGTTCTATTATTAGGCCTGCCAGCAAGTATTGCTGCATATCACAGAGAAGGTAGAATTGAGCCCAGATAGGTGGAAAGAGAACTAAGAAATTATACTTTAACAGATGGAAAACCTCCCAAGTATTTCTATTACAATAGAGGCCTGTGATTGAGCTTCTATTTTTATTTAATTTGGCTAAGAAGAATAAGTGTATAATCTTGAATTAAATCCGAAGAATCTTTAATTTAATGATTTTTAATGATAAATGTGACATCCAATTACATTGTGCGGGGTTTTGGGGTTTTGGGGTTTTGGGG